TTATTTTCTTATCGTGATAATTTTTTTAGGCCACAAAATATTTTTTTTACAGAGAAAATTTAAAGATAATTAAAATTCTCATCTTGATATTATTTTTGTGCTACAAATATTTATTTGTTACATTTTCGTAGTAAAAAATTAAGTAACTAATAATTACCGTAAAACAGGGTTATTTCGCTCAGTGCGGGTAAAGTGGCTCACCCATTTTTTTGCTTTAAATTTGATTAAAAACTAAAATTTAGTATTTCTATTAACAAATTTAACATTTTTACCTGGTAATAAATGTATTAAACTTTATTTTAAAGCTGAAATAAAGTATAAAAGTGGGTGAGCGAATTTACCCGCAATGAGCGAAATAACCCCGTTTTACGGTACGTTATTTAGTTAATTAATTTATTTACAGAGAAAATTTGACAAAAAATTATTTTATCATCGTGATATTTTTTTTGAGCTACCAATAAATTTTTTACAAATAAAATTTTAAAAAAATTATTTTCTCATGGTGAAATTTTTTCTGTCCTACGAGTAATTTTTTTTGTTAATTATATTCTCATCGTGATATTTTTTTAGGTCACAAATAATTGTCTTGAAAAAATTTTTTTTACTACGAAAATTTAACAAAAAAATTATTTTTTAATGGTAATATTTTTTTTGGCCAACAAATTTTTTTTTTGTCAAATTTTCGTTAAAAATAATTAATTAACGAATTATTAAGTATGACATTATGTTATTAATAATTATTTATGACATTAATTATTTATTAAGTTAATTATTTGTCATATTTAAAATAAAATAAAATATCTAATAAAATCAAATTTTTCAAATGTTTCCGCGCTGCGCTGATGGCTCAGCTCTGGACTTAAGTTCGCTCAACGCCACAGGGAGGGCGAACATCATAACTGTTTCTCGCAGTTGAGGTGCCATTAGATTGGTATATAAGCAGTGATCGAAAATTTTTTTTTGTCGAAATTTTTTTCTGCCCGATGTCTCTCCTTTATTGGATTTGAGACAAATTCTTTTTTGGAAGAAATGGTTTCACTAATATTTTGATGACCATTTTTTTATTTTAATTTAAATATTAAAAATAAAATAATAATAATAACTATTAAAAAATAATAAAAATAAATTTTTTTTAAATTATTGATTTTTTAAATTATTATTAAAATTTTTAATATTGGATATTGGACTTACTAAATTACTAAATAAATAATATTAAAATAATTTTTGCAACATCGTAAACGACGTAGTAAACGACATCGTAAACGACGTAGTAAACGACGTAGTTTGCTATCCTGAATTCCGCTTTCATTTACGACGTCGTTTACTATGTCGTTTTCTACGTCGTTCACTACGTCGTTTACTACGTCGTTTACTACGTCGCAAACTACTTAGAATACGACGTCGTAAACGATGTCGGAATTTTCAACTGGGAATGTAACTTATTTTCCTTGTTTAAAAAAAAATAATTATTGAATTGTAGTTATGTAATAATTTATGTTTGATCACATTAATTTCATATAAGAAAATTCTGGTTTAAAGTGAGTTGTAATTAAGTATTAGCATTATACAAATTACATTAGTTTATTAAAAAAAATTTGCTATACGAACATTGTTACTTAATTTATTTCCAAAAAAATTGAAATTTATGCAGAGTTCACTTGATTAAAATTTAAATTCATGTCATTCTAAATTAAAATGTTGAAGTTAATAAACTCCGAATATAAAATTGGGTATTAAAACGCATATACCATTGGAAAAAAATATATGTATACAATAATATACTCTTTGTAATAATAAACATCTGAAAAACTGTTTGATGACTTTACAAAATAATATAAGTATCTATTTAAAGTATTTTCGTTATAAGAGACATTTTCTCAAGATATTTCATAGCCTCCCCTGGTCGAGCCCGTTAAGGCGCTCCCAGTGCGGTTGAGAGCTATGATGGTCGAGGGTTCGCGTCTCAGAGTCAACACGTCGGAAGAATTTTTTTTTTTTTATATTATTGACGCTAAATAAAAACAAAATGTAACGAAATCTAATTTTATTTTAATAATTTAAGATAAATTTATATTTTTTGTAACAGAGATATAGATTTGTTACATATGTGTAACCGGGAACTCATTTATAAATGCTCTTTTAAATTGTTTAATAATTCTCAGTAGAGTTTTAAGAATACTCTTGCGTGAAAAAATATTAAATAATATTTTTTTAAATTAAAAAAAAAGAAAATCGGAATTGACATAGTTTCCTACATAGTAAACTACATCGTAAACTATATCGTTGCCTGTCCCATTTTCCAACATAGCTTTCTATATAGTTAACTATATAGCTTCATATATAGCTTCCTATATAGGAAACTATATGGGAAACGATATAGTTTCCCATATAGTTTCCTATATAGGTTTCGATATCGGAATTTTCGATAGGGATATATTAGTTTTTTAAAAAAATCTGTAGAACCGTTTTTTTTAATTAATGAAAACATGGTCATTTTTCATGTTTTTTCACTGTTCCCATGTAAAACTTCAAACTTTATCAATTTTTATCTTGAAAATGATACGGTAAAATTCAATAACATTTGAACAACACATGTAAAGTGATGTCAATAATACATCTTAAAAATTTTTAAAAAATCTGTAGAAAATCGATTTTGGGATGAACCTCCTTAAGTATATGTAATGTATTTAAGTCCTTCTTATAGAAATTTTTATTTAAATATTTTTGCAAATGTAAGGGGATAAGAAATATTTTATAATTAAAGAAATGTTGACTGAGTGTCTTTAAATGTTAAATATTGATTTAATATTATAAAGTAAAAGTTTATAATGGTCGTTTTTTAATATTAAAAATATTTAAAAAATTAATGCAATTTAACATTTAAGAAAGTTTTTTAATTAAAATATTGAAAAATTAAAACTAACATATATATATATATATATATATATATATATATATATATATATACTTGTTGTTAGAGTGATTCCTAAATGAGTTTTAATTATAAACATAAATATTGTGTGGAGTGAAGAAATATTTTTTTCAATGATTGATCATTGATGGTAATAACAAATTAAGGATTTGAAATATCTTTCACATCTATGTTTAATGTAAATGTTACAATTTTTGTTCTTAAGTTTCTTACTTTTGTATTTCGTGCTATTAAAGTATTAAGAATAAATATTATTTTTCTTTGTGTTTCATTTCAGCAATGCTTTATAGTTTATATATAATAAAATTATTATTAAATAATATTTAATAAGTTGCGGTACTACATATGTTATATCTTCGAACAAGGAAATGAAATATAATCCGAGATTTTTATAACAATGTATTTTAGATAGAGACAGGTAATTTACGTAAAATACGTGCATGCAATTTACATGAGAATCCTCCAGTGACGCGCGTCACTACCCATCTCTGCTTCGAAGTGTAGTCATCCAACCTTGCTTGCTGTAGCGGTATCGCCTGCTTTTAATCTTACATCTGAAGTAATGTTGATAAATTTTTGCAATCATCTCAACAACAAAAAAAAGTAGTGTTGTATGTTGGTTGCATATGGTACAAGAGGCAATGAAAACAAATCGATTAATTAGTATTCTGGTGCGGAAACAACAAGAAATAATTAATCTTTGAACACAGTAACTTGTGTACTTGAATAATTTCCTTTTTAACGTATTCAATGATTGAAATTTAGAATAGTCGACGCGATATAAAGAAAGAGATTAAGAATCAAATAATTTTAATGTTATGTTTGTGTTAGTTTTACTTTTTGTGTATTTTCAATCAAAAAATTACAAACATAACCTAAATTTTTTTTGTTTTTTAGGTGCCTTTCTTTATATTGCTCCACATATGTTAATAATAAAAATGATGTATTTAAAACAAAAAGTCTTTTATTGAACTTGAAGGATTAAAATTTAATTATAATGTATTTCAATTGACAAAATAAAAACAGTTATATTGAAAATTTAAAGTCTGAAATAATTCAAATGAAAACCGATCTTCATTAAAAAAAATAATTTATGCATTTCTGGTCCTACTATGCGGTCCGCCAATTGTCACCTTAATCAGCAAACCTCGTAAATCCAATATTGGTCAAAATTTACTTTTTTGTATTATTCAATTCTTTACACATAAACAAATATGCATTTTAAATTATACGACTCGTAAGCAATAAATATAGTTTAAAAATTCTACCCAGCAAACCTCGTAACTCCACTGGCAAATCTCGGAACTCCATCTATAATTTTTCAAGATGTCGAAAAACTGTCAAAATTAAAGCAAGTGATGTTAGCAAAGAAATAACAAAGTGTTATAATGTTTTAAATGTTGAAATTCATAAATCTTTATTTAAAATTTATATGATCAAGACTAACATTATATACCAAGTAGAAATGTTCATTGTGCCTTATGGGTATATAATTATAATAAAATTAATTTAAATAAATAATTATTTATATAATCTGAGTAAAGTTTTTATTCTTTTAATTCTCTAATTTTACAAAGATAAAAAGTTTTTAGCTTTCCCTTAAAATTTATGAATTTTAGTTTTGAGTTTATCTCATTACTAAAGTAACTATATATTGAGAATAGCAAATAAATGATAATTTAAACTTTAAATTATTTCAAAAATTGATAAATTTAAATATAAAATAATATGTATTTTAAGGTTGTACACACAGAAAAATGTCAGGTTGTACTATTACAAATTTATATTTGTGCAAATTATTAACCTCGTATAAAACTTAAATTTTATAAATTTTCATAGAGTGCTTTTAGTGTTCGTTATTTTTTACAATTGCATATTACATAAAAATAATAGATTTGTGTACAGAAAAAATGTATTTTAAAACCGGGAGAAATCTCTAATTTCTACCGGGAGAACCGGGAGAAAACCGGGAGGCAAAAATTCTAAAAATAGTGGCCACCCTGACTTCAGAAGAACTGTTATGTTTTTTAAATAACTGTTTAATCAAAGAATCTGTTTTCATTTGTAGGTGATAATGAAAGTGGGAAAACGACCCTTATCGCTAAACTTCAAGGAGTTGAAGATCCCAAAAAAGGTTCAGGTCTAGAATTCGCATATATTGACGTTCGAGATGATTACAGAGATGGTAAGATAAAACAAATATTTTTTTTACTGTTTTATATTTATTATTAAATGTCTTATTATCAACATTTATTGATTAATTTTTTCAAAAATTTTCATTTGATTGTTAATTGCGAAAAAAAAACATTTTAATAACATTAAATAGTTATTTTTAACATAATCCCGAATTTTAAAATTGTAATTTAATGTTTTATTATAAATAAAATACGGAATGCCAATATAAAACTAAAAATTTACTATTTCAAAAAAGTACTATAAAAAACGGAATGTTTTGAATTATTAGATTGTTGTTCTTGTAAATGCAAAAAAATATTTTTTCACGACTACTTTTATTTAATTTACTAACTAAAGAGTGTGAAGCCTGAAGAAATTAAAGTAATATGTTATCTTTGTTTATTTTTTTATAATATGGGTTATTATTATTTAATTTTTTTAAATATGTTTTTTTAATCTGATTATTCAGGATAAGAATTTTTAAACAAGTGTTATCATCATAGAGAAAGATATTTATAATTAAAGGGGAATTTAAAATGAATTAAATTAAATTATTAGATATAATTAATTTTTGAAATAAATTTTCTTTAACGAATTAGGCTTTAACGAAATTTCTTTTTTAATTAATTTTTACTTAACAAAATTTTTAGGTAACTTATTTGGCAGAATTTTTATTTCACAAAATTTCTTTTTATCGAATTTTTTATTTAAGAGAATTCTAAATGAATTGAAATTTAATTTATCATAATTCTCATTCAACAAAATTTTAAGTGATTCGAATTTTTAAATATCAAAATTCATTGTATTTTCATTTCTTCAAATTTTTATTTGTACGAAATCTTATTTGATATAATTCATAAAACGATGAATTTTTATTTGTCCGAAATCGCAAATGTCCGAATATATAATCAGAAATTTAATTTGATCGATTTCTTATTTGGCAGAAATTCAATTTGATCGAATTTTTATTTAGCAGAAATTTAATTTAATCGAATTTTAATTTGTCATAAATTCAATTTGATTTTGTAATATAAAAATTCTGAGAAATTGAAATTTGAACAAATGACAATTCTGCTAAAAGACCATTCTGAGAAATAAAATTCTATCAAATAATAGTTTTAAAAAATTCACTTTAGAGCTTATTCATGCGTCCCAAAAATTCAAATTCCATATTTTGTTATTTTAAGAAATTTAAAAAAACAAATTTCTTACATAACCAATAAGTTAATTTTAATGAAGAAAAATTGTAATAATTTATTTATATAAAAATATTTTTTGGATTTAAAACGTTTGGTTTTTAAGTATATATTTATGTCATTATAATATTTTAATTGTAAATTTGAAAAAAATAGAGTTATCGACTTTTCCTGAATCAAAGAAAATTACACTTTTTTCCAGACCAAACACGACTGTCTGTATGGGTTTTGGATGGAGATCCAGGGCACGCAAATCTTTTGAGGTTTGCTTTAAGTGCAGAACGGTTTTCAAATACTCTCGTTATATTAGTCGCTGCAATGACAACTCCTTGGGCTATTTTAGATCAATTGCAGGCATGGGCTGAATTATTAGGCGATCATGTCGATAAACTTAATTTGGATAATGACGTCTGGCAACACTGCAGACAACAAAGTAAATATGCGAACGCATTATGATACAGCAAATAATATCAAAGATAATTTTTCCTCATTGATTATTTTCACAATAGATTTTATATTTTAATTTTTGTTTTATAATTTTTTTTTTCCTTATCTTGATTGTAGGTGTTAAAAAATGGCAAGAATACACGGAACCAGGTGATGAACTTGATCCTGGAAGTCCACTGAGGCGCACAAGTCGAAATTTAGATGACGAAAGTGCAGATAATTTGCCACTTACAGAAGGTGTACTCACAACTAATTTAGGACTGGACATTGTTGTTGTCATTACAAAGACTGATTACATGTCTACTTTGGAGAAAGAACACGATTTCAGGTTGGTTGTATCAAAAAGTTATTATTTTTTTTTAATTCACTTTATTTCAATTTTTATTTATATAATGCAGGCCTCGGACTGTACGACTTTTTCTATATTTTTTTCAAAAAGTCGGCATTTTCGAATTTTTCAACTAAAATTCTTCGTTAAATTAATTATTTTTAATAATTTAAATAAAGTTCTACAAAAATTACATTATCTTATAATATTTTTCAATTAAATATTTTTAAAAATTCAATAATTGTTTGAAATTTCTAAAAAAAAAACACACAATTTCAGTAAATAAAATTATCAAAAATTTCAATTCAAAATCACATGAAATTCGATTATTTTCAAAAATATAATTTAATAATTAATAATAATTTCAACCAATAGTTTTCATCAAGTTCTTTGAAAAATTAATTATTATTTGAAACATTTTTTAATTAAAATTTCTGTAAAATTTAATTATTCACAGAAATTAAAAAAATTTTCAAAAATTTCAATTTGAAATCTTTTGAAATTTAATTATTTCTAAAATTATTGATAATTTTAACTCATTCAAAGTTTAATTATTTTTAAAAAATTCCTTAAATTATTATTGTCAAATTATTATTGTCAACCAATAATTTTCATTAACACTAGAACTACCGATAATTCTGCATACCTAGAACTACCATCGGTACATTTTGTCCCATTATTCATTCATGTTTTTTTATTAACATTTACAAGTAAGAAATATAAAGTGATACATGACTTTCATAGGTTTTTTTACGTATATTACGAATCCGAAGTCGGAAATACTCTATCATTTTAATTTTTCACTAAAAAATAGGTTTGAGTGATAAAAAACAGCGTTCTTTATGTTAACTTTAGAGCAATATAGAAAATTATCCCGAAAAGTTGCAAACTTCCGGTAGGCCTTAAAATTATATAATAATAAAATGCTTGGTCTGTCCTTCTGTCCTAACTTGAAGTAGGCCTTTTCTGATTTCACGTGTTTTTTTGAATAGTAATCTTATGACGTGTCAAATTTTTACAATTCTTTTTCTCATTTTTGCCAAAGTTGTATAATTGTGTTTCCAAATTTCGGAATAAGTTTTTTTTTAATTCCAAATTCGAAAATTCAATTCACGAAGCTGAAGTACACAACGTTTACCAACGAAATTTTTTTTAAAGTTGTATATTGATTCAAAAATTGTATACAAATACAAAAAATTTATGATGAGAAAAAAGATGCGCCAGCAAATTTCGTACAAGATAGTAATTTGAAAAAAATTTATTTTTAAAAATTTATTTTTAAAAATTAATTTTTAAGGTACCAGGGGCCAACGAATACCTATTAAATATTAATTATAAAAACACAGGCCTCAAATCAACTTAAAGACACAAAAAGTCGTTTTAGTCGATTTATATTCCAAAAAAAAGTGTATTTGCTTTTAATTTAAAAAAAATATTTTACAGATTTTTAAATAAAAAAATTTTTTTTTTAATAATAATCCTTTTCGAAGGGTTAAAGTTGAAATTTTTAGAAATAATTAAATTTAAAAAGATATTGTTAATTTTCAAACAATTATTAAATTTTACAGAACTAAAAATAATTTATCAAACAATTTTTGGAAAACATTTTTTTAATTTAATTGAATTTTCAAAGATTTAAAATTGAGATTTTTGAAATTAATTGAAACTTTAAGTGATTTTTAATTAATATTTTAGATGATTTCACTAAAAATTTATTAGAAAATGCGGACAAAATACAATAATTTGAAAATCATTTTTAATTGAAAAATGGTTTCAGATAGTTGAATTTTCAAAGAATATTATTAAAATAGTTAAAAATAATTGAATTTCCTTGGAGTTATAATTGAAATTATTAAATTTCAAAAAAAAAATTTCAATGGAAAATTTTAGAAATAATTAAATTTTAGATGCTTTTAAATTCAAATTATTGAAAATTCAATTAATTTTGAATTCAAATTTTTGAGAATAATGAAATTTTATTTGATTTTAAATTTGGAAAATAATTGAATTTCAGTTCATTTTGAATTGAAAATTTTGGGAAATAATTGAATTTTAATTGAAATTTTGGATAATAATTTAATTTAAGTTCATTTTTGATTAAAAATTTGGATAATTAATTTTGAAAAGAAATTTTAGAAAATAATTGAATTTTATTTCATTTTAAATTGAAAACTTGGTAAATAATTAAATTTTAAATTGAAAATTTTGGATAATTATTGGATTTTTAATTGATTTTGAATTAAAATTTCGGGTAATAATTGAAATTTAGTTTAATTTGAAAAGAAATTTTTAAAAAATAATTCAATTTTATTGTGATATATTTTTTTTAAATTATTAACGATTGTTAAATTTCATAAAAATTTTAATTGAAAAATAATTTTGATATAATTGAATTTGTGATTTATTTCATTAAAATTATTAAAAATAATTAATTTAGTGAAGAATCATTTTAGTTCATTTGTTAAATAATTGAATTGAAGAAGATCTGAAGAAGACCTACATTTTATACAAAAAAAAATGTATTTCATTTACATTTTTTTCAAATGTTAAAAAAATGTCGCATTTTATTAAAATAAGTCGATAAAAGTCGTATTTTTGAAAAAAGTCGGAAAAAGTCGTATAATCCGAGGCCTGTAAACATATAATTTTCATTATTATCATTTAATATGTAATAATATTCTAATAAATTAAATTATTATTGATAATATTAATCTTTAATTTCTTTATAACAAACAATTAAATACTCAATTTGACGCGCTTGCGCGCGTTTAATTTTGCTAGTAATAAATAAACCTTCAATAATAAATTATGTATATGGAAAAACGCTTGTCTTGTAAATATTAATATAGGCAATTACAATACAGAATAAGCATAATTCCACATATATTATCATTGTTTATACTTTCTATTAACTGTACAAAATGATTATTTTTCAATTTTGTAATAATAATTGTTTTTAACCATGGAACAAAATGTCCCGTCGGTAGTTCTAGGTATCCCGGTTCAGATCTCAGGTTCTAATAATGTTAAAAAACCGAAATTCGGTATACTGATTAAACTCAAAAAAAAAATAAAAATCAGAAAATTTCAGCCCTCTAGCTAGTCATTAACGAAAGATACACAAGAAAAACCGTGCGCCGCGGGACAAAATGTACCGTCGGTGATTCTAGTGTTAAATTCTTCGAAAATTTAATTATTTAAAACATTTTTAATTAAAAATTCGGTAAAATTTAAATATTGTCTGAAATTTTAAAAAATTTTGAAAAATTAAATTCTTTTGAAATTCAATTATTTTAAAAAAAATTTCAATTAAAAACTCTTTAAAATTTAATTTTATGGTTGGAAATTTTTTTGTTTATTAAAACTAAAAACTATGCCGAAATTTTGAATTCTAATAATTTGCTTAAATCATATTTTGAAATTTTTTAAAAATGGAACATTAAGAATTGTTTTAAAAATCTATTCTACTTAATTAAATTATTGAATATTTCTTATTTTGATTCTCAAATATTATATTATTCTTCACGGAGAGAAATCTGGTGCGATTTACGCATGAGCATGTCCTTAGGAATATAGTAACAGACGCTTTCAAGCAAAAATCCTAAGTGAGCGAGGTATTATTGTATGAGTCTCACCTGATATTCAGATGGAATCTTATAGTTTTTGCTTGGAAGTGTCCATGCTATATTCCTATGGACTTGCTCATGCGCAAATCGCAGCAGATTTCTCTCCGTGTTATTAAGGAATTAAAAAAATTAATTTAATATCTATTAACAACAGTTATTTGAAATAAAATAATTATTAACTAATTAAATTTATTAGAAATAAAAAATCGACTTTTTTTACTATTCTTATATTATAAATTAACTAAGGCGACTTATTTTGCGTCTTAAAGTCGATCCGTTTAAAAGATTAGTTTTTTTACTTCCTTGAAGAAAGTTTCGGATGAAATTCCAATCAATTTTAATCAGTATTATTCCTAGACATTCCGAAATTTGTTTTTGAGCCATCCAAATTTAAATTTTAATGTAACTTAACAAAATATTCTTTTCGAAGCAATTCGTTTCATTCTCAAACTAAATTTTAATCCTAAAATTTCATTTCGAATCATTACAATTTTGTTGGAAATGGATTAATTCGGAGTTAAATTTCATATTTTAAAATAATTGAAATTTAGCTTCAGATTGATTCGGAATGAAATTTAAGGATTAAAAATCATTAAAATTAAGCTATGGAATAAAATGTATTGATTCGGAATGATTTTTGATAGAATTTAATTAAAATTAAAAATTTTTGTATAAAAACAGTTTAGTTTGGAGACAAATTTTAAAATTCCTCGGAATAATATTTTACTAAAAAAGATTGAACATCAAAATGAAAATTTTGTTAGGGTTTAAATCCAAAATTATTTTTTGTTGTAGGGACGAACATTTTGATTTTATGCAACAATGGATTAGGAGATTTTGTCTACAGTATGGAGCTGGTCTGTTTTACACATCAGCCAAAGAAGACAAGAACTGTGATTTACTATACAAATATCTTACGCACAGAATTTACTCCTTACCATTTAGGACGCCTGCTTTGGTCGTTGAAAAAGACGCCGTTCTTATGTAAGATTTTTTATTTTAAATAATTTTTTTTTGCAATACTAACCTCTAAAGTTGAATTTTACATACGGAATACCATTTCTCTTACTTACTAAAATCAAATTACGTTTAGAATTTTCTCTTTAAAAACTGCTAATAACAAAAGTAATTTGATTTTAATAAGTAGAAGAAATAATTATTTATATGAGAAAAAAAATTTAATGTTTGCCAAAAAATTGTTTGGTTAGGAAATTTTGGTTCTTGTAACCAAATTTTAGTTGGCTGAAACAAAGTCGTAGAGTTATCTCAACCAAACATTTGGTTACGCCAACAAAATCATTTTGTTGAACATTTTTAAATTCCAACCAAAATTTGGTTGCGACAACCAAATAATTTGATTCACTCTCAGCTCATAGCTTAAGAGAACAGTTAGTTTAAATCTCTCACAAGGATGGATAGTCCAGTGGTCAAAGCTCCCGACCTTCAGTTTAAAACAGAGATTCGATCCCAGGCGGAGATGAGATTTTTCAAAGTCCACAAATATTTCAATTAGATAAATATAAATTAAACGTTAAATTGATAATAAATAAATAATGAAATAAATAAAAAACATAAAACGAAAAAAAATAAGGTAGAATAAAATTTTTAATTTAAAAAAAAAACTGTTTTTTTTGATCAACCAAACATTTTTGTTGACCTAACAAAAAAAAATTGGTTGAGCTAACCAAACATTTTTGTTATGCCAACAAAAAACACTCAACCAAATTGTTTGGTTGACCCAAACAAATAGTTTGGTTGCTTAAATACTAACAAAATTCTTTTGTTGGCCCAACCAAACTTTGGTTGCTCTTACTAAAGATTTTTCTCAGTGTAAATTATCTCATATTGGAAAATATTAATCCAGTTAAAACTGGGTTCATAACGGCTAAAATATCCAAATCATAAATATGAAGAATTGATTCTACTTTAGCCCATTTATTTAAAACGTTATGGGCATTCCAATCATCATATTTTATGGTTTTACTAGATAGAGGCATATTTTAGAACTGTGACGGATATTTTTAATAGTGGAACCGCGATCCCACTATCCGCATTATTCGATGACAACGAAACCCGGTTCCTTTAACACCTCGCAAAGAAACCAATAAACAAATCTTCTGGGGAGATTCCTGCCTAGACAACGACGACGTGAACGACGTTGAGACATGAAGATTCCACAAAAAATACAACACACTTTAACGTTGATGTAAAATGCCGGTGAGGTTCTCCGAAACAATATGATCCTTTATTAAAAGATGAATTAGAGAAAGTTAAACACAATGGAAGTCGAAAATTATTATGAACACTAAGATTTATTAAATTAATATTCAATTAACTCTGTAAAATAAACGCGCAAACCACAGAATACAATTAGATTTATCTATACAATATCCTAAGCATAAGTAATCATCAACTCCCGAAAATTCGCTACTCTTCTTCTTCTTCATTAACGGCCACCGTCTCTAAATCTCTTCTCCATACCTCAGTTAAAGACATGCTTAACTGTGGCCAATAGAGCATAATCTTCCGCTGTGCATAATCCTCACAGAAACTTAAATGGCATTAAAATAAGCTGCTCTTATTTTAATCCAATTTTGCTTATTTTAATACCAAAATTAATTAAAATAAGCAAAATTGGCTTAAAATAAGAAGCGTTGCAGCTTATTTTAATGCCTTTTAATTTTCTGTGCTGCAGAGTGAGTCTAAAACGAAAATCACTTTCAACGGAGTAAAAGGCGCAACCTCATAGGCATCAGCAGAAGTCTTATCGAGAGTATTTCCTCTTGCAAGACATTCCTTTAGTCCTCTAAAGATGGCCATTGGAAATTATGGTTTCCTTATTCCCTGCTTCTCAAGGATACGCTCTGCCTCCTCATAGTCACAGAAATTTAAGTATCTCGTCTTCATCACCTCAAATTCATAAATGTGCATGAGACATTCGCGGGAAGAAGCCATATGAGATCTGCTACAATTAGAACATAAATTACGACGATTAACGAAGGGGCAAACACCAGGCTCGTGGTAACCAGCGCAAAATTTGCAAACAAGTTTGGACTTAAAATTACGGCATTGATCACGGGTATGTCTATATCTTTGGCATCAGAAACACCTTTTCAGTGGGGGAATCACAGGTGTAACTGCACATGCAGTGTCAGCCAAGAATATACTTTTTGAAATAATAGAGGATGTTATAGTCAGTTCAACAACATCAGTTGGAACACGAATAGTACGTGAGCCATGATCCAATGTTCTATCTTCCGTCCAACTTCGAACTGCCACAACCATTTCCTGAAATCCCTGTCCAACAATTGGTAGATTCTGCCAGCATCCAAATCAGTATCTGTTTCTATAACAAAGACCTTTCTTTTAAGGAGTGTTAAGGGGATATAGGCTCTGTAGTCTTTACTCTTAAGTAAAGACTCAACCAAGGCATTGCCAATTAACAAAGCAACGAAAATCTTATTAAATTTACCTATATTTTGTCACGGGTTTTTGGACAACAAAAAAATTGATCAATCAATAATAGAGGTTTGAAAAAGAACATCTATGTGAATTGAAAAATAAATCAGAATAAACTATTTGTATCTCTCGTTCCCAGAGTACATAATACTCAAGGCATAATAAACATAATTGGCCTTGAGAAATAATACACTAAGTAAAGATTATCATTCAAAATTTTACTTATTCACAATAATTTAATCCAGCACGAATTTAAGCTAATATAGAATTATCTTCTTCTTCTTAAATGACTTTAGGCTTAGCCGAGTGTCAGAATAATAAACTTAGAAGACCAAAAAGTTCAAGAATAAACTATATGAAACCCTGTTGGTAATTCAGGTTAGATAATCATAAAAGTAAGTCCAGCATATAAGAAATTTGAGATGAATCAAATACGGTGTTCAGTTGGAAACGAACCAGTCGAGTACAAGGAAAATGACTTTGCCATGCGTTGAGTCCGTTCATAAATCATAATAAACTCCCATGAGAAGAATACATGAGAAAAACGAATTCAAATCGCATAGGTCGTACATTGATATGTATAATTGACTTCAGTAACAATTTCCAACGTTCAATCAAAATAGAAACAGTAAAAATAAAATAATGAACGATTAGAATAAGACTGCTGAAGCCAAGCTTCCTCTGGGAAAGACAAAGTGAGACAAACTCCGATTTGAATCAGAAACATCAATTATATTTGTAACGCGGGAAAATGTCAACACCGGGTTTCAAACACTTTAAATATACTTAAACCTTGAACAAGGGGTATACATTTAAGATATTAAACTGTCGAAGACCACAAATCTGCAAGGTGACACCGCAGATACACAAAAGATGTTTACATAGTCTCACAAAGCCTAACAAACAGCAGAGGTCATAGCACGACAACAATGAGTCACTTCTAACTCAGATAAAACCAGAAAATTCATGTAAAAAGGCGGGAGTGTAAAACCCTTGAACAAGGGGTATACATTTAAGATATTAAACTGTCGAAGACCACAAATCTGCAAGGTGACACCGCAGATACACAAAAGATGTTTACATAGTCTCACAAAGCCTAACAAACAGCAGAGGTCATAGCACGACAACAATGAGTCACTTCTAACTCAGATAAAACCAGAAAATTCATGTAAAAAGGCGGGAGTGTAAAACCGCACGGAACAGCATAAAACATGAAAAATGAGTCCTCAGAATGACACAAACAATTTGAACAATTCACCAAAAAAGTCACAATGAGCGAGAGTAGTAGTCACACTCGCTTTGAGAACAAAACACAGAACGGACCAGTTTTAGAACCAACTTCAAAGAACACTTCATAGAGCACGTGGTAGAAATAAAATTTTTTAAAAAGTTATTATGTTGCTTTCAAAAGTAGAACAAATCATGTGAATTCACTGCACAGAACTTGACTAAAAATAAAACTAAAACTTGATGTCAAAACAAATCAAAAATAGAACAAAATCAATGGTAAATGCATGGAGTGCCGGAATACATTAATATAGAATTATATATAAGTTAAATCACAACGTGTAATTCAATATTTATGTGAAATAAGAAGCCAGCAGGCATGGTCGACTCAATATAAAAACTGTGGCAAAAGATTTCTAGACTTAAGCGCCTCTGTAGTCAAAACAGGGTGAACTAAAGCGTGTATGTATACGCAGCTGCTTGTGCATGTATTGCATAGACCCTCGTGTGAGTTACGCAGTAAAAGTGATTGAATTTAAGGGGGAGTGACACCTTTGAGGTCTATTTTGAACCTGTTTTTTATGAATTTTTTCAAGTCACAGGATTAAAGTAAACAAAATTTGGTTTCGAGGACTTTATTTGTTAACTTTTTAAGTTTACTAAAATATATTTATACTTAAAAAAAAGTTTCAATTTGTTGACTATAGATGCCGCTAAAGTTGGTCTCGTTTCTCTGCAGGGCAAATCGGTGGGCAAGATTCCGGTTAGACCGTTTAATATAAAACAAAAATTCAAATCTTTTCTGAATCTGTGGTAGATTTAGCTTTAGAGTAGGTAGGATATTTTCTAAATATTAATTTTTGTGCATTTGGCAGCTATTTGAAGGAAAAAGTCGATTTTAGGGCAAAATTTTTTCAAAAAATCTATTGCCAAAAAAAAACAAACAAACCAATAAAAAATCCGCTACGTACTCTAAGGCATTTGTAAATGACGATAAAAAAAATTTTTTTGAGAAAAACGCGTTTAAAGTTTTGACATGAAAACTTATTAATAAATGAAATCAACGTTAATCTGCGATGCTTGCACCGTATAATTGGTCTTCTACATTAATATTGGCTTCATCTTTAGCCTTTCGAGCGGCTGTGAGCGTGAAAGAACGCAATTGTTACCACGGTAAAAGACAAAATAGCACTCGAAGCGCTCTTGGACTCCTTCTGCAGATTTCGATTTTTTTACATAAAATAACTTCGAAATCGCTTTTGCTGATATAATTTCTATTCTACACATCATAAAGTCCCACTTAAAATATTTGATTTTATTATTTTCTGGAAAATTTAATTAATTTATTATATTATAGTTAAACAAATTTTAACAATATCTATACATTCAAAGTGGACATAATATTTGGAAATTTAATTGATAAATGTATATTTCAGTAATATAATATATATTTTATACATTCTTAATTTACAAAAAGATTTATTAAACATAATTTTGGGTCTTCCATTAAACCCAAGAATTTGGAATGTATCAGATACACACAATTTACTACTACTCACGTTTATTGAAAATAAAACACAAGATATTTTATCTTTTATATTTTACAATAGCGGTAAATACAATAGATAGAAAAAGTCTCTTTTCTAATAATAACTAACATGAACACTTGAGGGCGCTAAGCACCAGTTACAGGGCCGTAATACCCATCAACTTACAAAATTAATGCGAATTGTTATTGACAGTTTATATTTTATATACAATATACAAGAAGAAAATTAATAATAATAATTATTATTATTATTACTCTATTACATTAAATAACAATATATTCAGCGATAAATTTTTTCAATCTCAACGTAGCTCGAAAGTCCTAAAAATAGCGAAAAATTATAATTAAAAAAGGGTTCCTTCAACTTCATCTATCAATGTTGATTAAGGAACATCTCCCCCCTAGGCCACATTTTCGGTCTGCCATTGAACCCAAGCATTTGGTATGTATTTTTCCAAGCCATTAAAACGCAATGTACGAATATAATGTGCAAAATAAAATTTATACAATGCATTATTGCTCAAGTCCACATTGTATTTTGAATGAAATTCATCAATTCTTTTGATATCCGAAGAAATATTCAAATCATTGTCTCCGACTAGTTTTAAACCGACATTTGTAACGACAAAAGTATTATGTTTTAATTCATTATATTTATTCCAATGAAGCCAAAAACGACCTGGTTCTGGATGATAAATATGAATTTTGTCATTAACTATCAATTTATGTTTTACATTTATAAGCGGTTCCTCCTTTTCCTGAGTGCTATTTATTTTGTATTCAAAAATGGAAGAACCATTTCGTTCTAAACTTATTGAAAAATATAATTCGCCTTTAAAATACACATGGACATCTTTAAAGAATTGATTTATACCTATTGTCATACTTTCGTAGTTTATTAATATTTTTGCGAAAATTTCATCATTATAACCTAGGGCATGAAATTCATAATATGCTAAAGGTAAAAATTCTCCACTTCGTGACATTTCATTCACTATCAAATGAATTTTTGTTTCTTTTGAAATAGTGTGATAGACTATATCACTAATGTAAATTTTACCATTTTTTTCTTCGGCTATAAAACTAGAATAAACGTCGGTCTGTAATTTAATATTCATAAGATTTCCTACAATATTGTGACAAATGTTATTCAAATAAAGACAACAATTTGTGAGATCAATTGGTGATTCTATGGTAAAAGTAACGTCGACTAATTTTTTCTTCATTTTTCGCAACAACATTAAAGGTAAGGATGGTCTCCAATCGTTTTCTCTACTCCTGGCTTTTAACTCTGCTGGCTTTATATTAAAATCAATGGCAGGCATTACAGGATGACCAGTTATAAGTAGTAATTCTATATCAGGGTTTACAATAGGAGCATTGGTATTAAAATTGAGAACTTTTTTCAAATATGGCAATACATTTATATTGTAAAGATCGAGAAATACTTCTAAAATTAAAGTAATTGTGTTCAACTTATTTTTCTTGGAATAGTAACGAATGTTAAATTCCCTAAAAGATTTATCAGTACCATCGAAGGCAAATAATGTCATTAAAAATTGTAGTTTTTTTGCATAACTCCACTTTTCAAAAGATTTACTGTTTTGATAGAATTCTGCAAGTTCATTTTTATTTGGTTCTCTCTGTGTATTGGAGTAAAATTTACTTTCGTAGAGGAAAGCAAAAATATTTGTCCATATTTCAGTAGTTGGTCCGAAACCAAGCAAATCATATTGTATGTCAAAATAATGCGCAATTTCATGTAATTCAATCCATTTTTTAGCTCGTTTTTGTTGTAAAACATCGTCTACACCATAAGTAAGTGTTATCCAACAACTTTTATACAATCCGGCCGCATTTTCATTTATTTCTGTGCGGAAGAAATGTCGTTGCTTGTCTACTAAATAATATGTTAATGAATCATTTTTATCTACATATCGACTGGCACCTGTTAGATAATTGTAGTATTTTATTATATCCGCTTGATTTTGTAATCCAACAAATAAACTCAACTTCTCTGATAAGATTTCTTTAACATCCTTTGCTGACACTATCATTTGTGTTTGATGATTTTCAACAAAACCATAAGTTTGAATATTTTTGTAAAATTCTTGTTCAGGTTTGTGCGAGGTGAGAAAAGTTAAATTCTTAGAATCAAAAACAGGTAAAACTGACCAATTTTTAGTTTTAATTTTTACCACCACTGGTACATTGTATGATACTGTTAATAATGGAACACAGTCAAGATTTGTTGTTAAATTTCTTGTACTATTTTGGGTTCGAGCAAAATTTATTTCGAGAAATTTATCTGAGCTCTCAAATGGACAGACAAATTTTAAATTTTCAATTTTTTGTGAAGATTCTATAGTTAGTGTAAATGTCGTATCTTTCCTAATTATTATTCCAAAGTGTTTTTTGTAGTGAAAAACTAGTCCATGGTACATGTTGTTTTTCCATGAATTTTGAAATTTCCTAACACTTGGCTTCACAATCCTTTCAGTTTCCTAAATCATATTTAGAAATTATTACACATTTTTTAATTTTCAATTCTAAAGTTTATAAGTAAAACATATATGCGATTCCAAGAGAAATTTATCACATTGTATAGAATTATTCTACAAAAATTTTAGTTTGGTCCTTCTATAGAATTTAACTAGAATGATTTTGTACCAAATTTCTTTATGAATTCTGTTAAGAATTTTACAAATTTTATTCATATATTTTCACTAGTAAAAAATCAGTCTTTATGGCTAAATATGATTGGTTTTTCTTTGAGGGGATTATCGCCATGCAAAATTAGGCTACATATTTGCCGCGGCCTAACTTTACATGTATAGGCAGGTCAAAAAATTGAAAATTACTTTAAATTTATCCTAATTTACAGCACAATTTGTTACTGACCCAAGAAAAAAATAGGTCTTTAGTGAAAAAATATTGTTAAATATTGTATAAAAAATTTTCTGAATTAAGATAAATAATTTTAGTCAAGATGTTATTTGTTTTTGGTAAAAATCCACATTTTATTTTTAAAATTCTTATTAAATGAGCTTTCGCCCGTCAACGTCGGGCCTCATCAGATTTAAATACTGAAATTAAATTTACATTTTTTGAGTTTGTTATAAAAATAAAAATTTAATTAAATTGATAAACATAACCTCAAACTCACCAATATGTATTTCAACTCTCATTTAATAATTTTAAATAAAAAAATAATAAAAATTATAATAAAAATTTTATTTTTTTTAAATTCCGTGAAACCAAACATAATTCAAATTATGTTGTACGATGTTTATGTGTCGATATGTGTTGTACAGGACACGTGTTTCAACGGATACTAATATAAGTTTAAAAGAAATTTTATTTAAATTATTTTATATGGAATAATTAACTCTTTCAAGACCAAATTATTTTCTAATAAATCAAGATTTTTGATTTTTAAACAAGTTTTTCAGCGAAACTAATTAAGGTTTTCGTCTCAAAACCAAAGTTTAGAATTGGAAATTTATTTGACTAAATGGAAAACATTGGTCTAATATTTAGTTTTAAAAATCAAGGAACTTATGCTTAAAATAACCAAAAAAATGTCCATGTTGCCTGAAAGCAACACTTGTCTTCAAAGAGTTAAAGTAGTGGTAAATTTCTCATCGAATCGCACATATATTATAAAAATAATTATAAATATAAAAATATTTTTCTTCTGTATAGAAAAAAATTTATATTCATCTATACATTTTAATTGAAAAAACATCAAATGCAAAGTTACTATGATAATAATTTAACTTATTCAATTAAACTTTAATTAAATACTTCAACATACCACTTCGTTCCACTTTACTGGCAGGTCTGCGTTAGAAACATAGAAATGAAGCAATAAATTTAAAATAGTTAATATTAACATTTTCGATGTTATTTCGTTTACAGATTAATTAATTTTACAAAATTGAAATGTTTTACACATTTCTCTATCAACTTTTAGTTACGATCATTCCAATGTCTTAGATTTTATAGCAGTTTTTATTTATTCTAATTTATTATAAATGACACATATATTGGAAGTAACATGTATATTCTTGTTGACTTTTAATAAAAAACATTTTATTTATTTAATATTTTCGTTATCGATTGATGTCAAGGTTTTTAAATTTCTGTTTATTTTTGAAACACCTCTATAAACAGTAAAAAATAGAAATTGTAATTTTTCTGTCTAAAAATTTATATAAAAAATAAGATTTTTAATTTATTCTAATTTATTATGGAAAGCGCAAATAGACAAAAATTTGTATTTTTACTGTCTTGCTGATTCTCCATATAAAACATTAAACATATTGGATCTTACGGGGAAGGAAAATTTCACCAAAACATTAACAGCAAATTTTGATTGCGTGCCTATGATATCTGATGCAAATAATGTTCCAGTACGAATGATATCATAGCGTAAAACTCCCTCTAATAAATCATGTTGGGCATTTACAGAATAATTTTCTGTAACGTGAAAGCTTATTATTTGATGAAAGATACAATTTTCTGTAATCCCTGAATCTGTAACGTCATTTTTAGAAATGGGGTAAAATTCCTGTAGCGTATACGGAGAGAAAAATCTAGCTTTAATAGCATGAAAATGATTACTACCTTATATGAACTATTTTGGATTAGAGAATTTTTTATGAACAATTGCAATGTTAGCCAATTATTTATTAACAATCTACTAATCAAAAATACTTTATATAGGGCTCGTTGGATGTGGAATTATGTCAACTTTCATTTATTAAAATCAGAATTACGATAACTTTATTTGTTTATAAAATATATCATTTTTTATTAACCTTAACAGTTAATTAATAAACTAAAAATTGTAAATATTATATAAGTAGATAAAAAAAATTTTGACATATATGTTTTTTAAAGGTTTTTTTGTGATCTTTCGATTCGTCAAGAAAATATTTTCTTGATTTAATATATATATGATCTTGACTTAATATATTTTACATTTCTTAGACGAATTCCATATTTTCTTGGACCAAGAACATGCGTTCTTCTGACAATGTAAATAATATTTTGATTTAAATCTTTACTTACTTGAACCAACATTACAAAGATTTAAATGAATCAAATGCAATAATTGATTTGACTACAGATATTCTTAGAACAAGAAAATATTTTTCTCAAAAAAATCGATTAACTTTTTGATCGAATTTCATATTTTCTTGGATCAAGAACATATGTTCAAAAGGTTTTTATTTGACATAAAACATAAATTGGTTTTTTAGTAAGGAAAAACAATAGTCTTATTGATTTTTTGATAAAATAAAAAAAAGTTGAAAAAACTTGCAAAAACGAAAAAAAAAATAAAATTCCCTTTGTCGAACATTTGAATGTTGATGGGGTGTCTAGACACCCCAGTTACTCCTCCTAAAGTTAATTTTCAATTATAAAATTTCTAAAAAAAATTTATGTTCTTCATTAAAAAAAATTTGTCGTATCTATTGAATCATTCCATAAGAATTTTAGCCTGGATATTCTATAAAGTTTCAGTAGCATGATTCTACAAAAATTTGTTTTTAAATTCTAGTAAAAATTTTACAAATTTCATTTCATCGATGAAGCTCACAACATTTATGATCAACGATTGAAAAAATATATATTTTTCATTCGGGAAATAATACCTAATTAATTTTTTTCTTATAAATTTTACTTTTAAAAATTGTTCATCGAGAAACGTTGCAAAAAATTATAATAATTTACAAAGAAAGATATTTTATTCCTAAATTGTTGATCATTAAACGTTGTGAACTTTACCGACATATTTCATGTATAGTTCACTTATTTTCAAAAAAGTAGTTAAAAATCAGTTTTTTATACAAAAAAAAATTAAAATTTTTTCTGAATTGTAGATCTAAAAAATTTATAATAAAACATACATATATAAAATATTTTTTATGCTAATTTATTAAATTCCAGTTATCTTTGTTCAAATAATTATTAATGTTTTTCCATAAACTTAATAAAGTAACATGTATATTTTTATTTATTAAATGATAATAAAAATTCTATTGCCTTAATCGATTTTCGTTTTTGATGATGCAAACTTTGTTGATTTTGACACTCATATATAAAAATAGAAAAATAAATGATATGCGTAATTCATATTAATTCAACTACAAGTAGCACAAAACATATTTATTTAACAAATAATTACATTAATTACACAGACCTGCTAAATTTAGTTTTATCCAGTATCTATACTGAGAAAAATATGCTATTGAATCAATAACATTTCTGCCAAAGGTATAAAAATTATTGATTCAAAAGCATATGCTATAGAATCTATAAAATATTTTTAAAATTTTATAGCATATGAGAGATTCTTTTTCAATCGCCCCAGCCCAAAAAGTCAATGTTCTGGGATTGGCTTCATACTTTGGTAAATTGTTGTCCTATATGATAGTAATAAATCCCTAAAATATAAACTCATTAAAAAAAGATTTTTTGATCCCTTTTTTTCAAAATCAACCCTTATTTTTCGATTTTCACCCCTTCGGGTATTTTTTTTTAATTTTTTTTATTTTCATTGGAACGCTGAGGTTTTTTCCCATGAGCTATGTAAATATGAAAGTGGGACAACAATAATTTTGTGAGAAACATAATATTAAATTAGGCGGTGCCTACCTAAATCCTCGAAAATGATCTCCAGGTATACCCGTTATCGGCACCGCCGACTTTAATATTCTGTTTCTCACAAAATTATTGTTGTCCCATTTTCATATTTACATAGCTCATGGGAAAAAACCTCAGCTTTCCAATGAAAATAAAAAAAAAAAATACCCGAAGGGGTGAAAATCGAAAAATAAGGGTTGATTTTGAAAAAAAGGGATCAAAAATTTTTTTTTTAATTTCGTATACATTTTTGAAAAGTACGTGAAAAATGCATTAAAATTCATTATAGATAAATTAAAATCCATTAACTTTTGTCATAGTTATAAGGATTTGAAAATGACAATGTTACCCTTAACGTCAAAACTTCAACCCCCTCTACTTTCTACAAATATTTTTTTAATGAGTTTATATTTTAGGGATTTATTACTATCATATAGGACAACAATTTACCAAAGTATGAAGCCAATCCCAGAACATTGACTTTTTGGGCTGGGGCGATTGAAAAAGAATCTCTCATATGCTTTTGAATCAATAATTTTTATACCTTTGGCAGAAATGCTGTTGATTCAATAGCATATTTTTCTCAGTGTATAATAGTTCTCGGTAATTCTTGTAGATTTTTTTGTGCTAAAAACGAATCTGACTTTCCAAATGCTTCATCACGTCAGGATTTTCGGTAAATGAAGCCTAAGGGGTTAAAAAATGGCTAAGATAATTTTTTTTGACAGAATTTTTTTTATTTTCGACAAAAAGATCATATAGTACTACTCTACAGTTTTAAAACCCATTTTTAAAAATTATTTTATGATTTTTTTTAAAAAAAGTTATGACATTTTGAAATTAACACTTT